AATATCAAATTGACATGATGAAAACAAACAATATCAAATTAACATAATAAAACAAACAATATCAAATTGACATGATGAAAACAAACAATATCAAATTAACATAATAAAACAAACAATATCAAATTGACATGATGAAACAAACAATATCAAATTAACATGATAAAAACAAACAATATCAAATTAACATAATAAAACAAACAATATCAAATTAACATGATAAAAACAAACAATATCAAATTAACATGATAAAAACAAACAATATCAAATTAACGTCACAAGAATAAAAATATCGAATTAACATAATAAAACAAACAATATCAAATTAACATGATAAAAACAAACAATATCAAATTAACGTCAAGATAATAAAAATATCAAATTAACATGAGGAAAACAAACAATATCAAATTAACATTAGGAAAACAAACAATATCAAGTTAACATGATGAAAACAAACAATATCAAATTAACATGATAAAAACAAACAATATCAAATTAACGTCACGAGAATAAAAATATGAAATTAACGTCACGAGAATAAAAAATATCAAATTAACATGATGAAAACAAACATTATCAAATCAAGATCACGAAAACAATCAATATTAAATCAACAATATGGAAACAAACAATATCAAATTAACATGACGAAAACAAACAATATTAAATTAATATTATTTTTCCTTATTCAGTAAAAACAAATCCTGAAAAAAAATAATGTTAAAACCTATAATTGTAAATTAGAAATTCTGAAGTATAGTGAAATAAACACAAGTATACATTTTAACTAAGATATCAGAATATTCCCACTTAAAGCTCTTTCATATTATATGTTGAAGTATATTAAAGTGTTTAGGGTCTAGTTGTTGTTGTAACTAGAGAAAGGTAAGCAAAAGAATGCGTGCAAGAAAGTTTTAATTAATAATTAATGACATAAGATACGCTTCAACATGCAATGATTACAGTTTTACTAAAAACCATGAGTTAAACTTCAGCTTTTATACTCCAAATTTTATTGTGAAAAAAATATGTTATTCGGTACTCACACAAGCGCCTTTACTTTTAAATATTTTTTTCAGACGATATCGAAGTTATTTTTTTTTTTGTACTGCGAATAGATAAAATGAATTTTATTCCGTTGTGTTTGTATATTATATTTCATTTTCGGCTAAATTAAGTTTACAGTTTATATTGTATTCATAACGTAAGACAGATCGCATGATTGTGTACCTGGGAGTTTTACTAACTTCATTTAAAAAGACCCCTGGTGGTACAGCGGTAAGTTTACGAACTCACAACGCTAAAATCCGGGGTTCGATTCCCCGCGTTGAACACAGCAGATAGCCAATGTGGCTTTGCTCTTAAAAAAACAACAACAACAAACAAACAGCTGTTTAAAAATTAAGATAAACAGATCTCAAGTCACATCCCCCTTTAGTTTTTCCCTTAAAATGTAATTCTTCAATACGAGAAACGTAACTTTCTCATTGAAGTTACAAACTCCTAAATAAGAGGGCCGGGCGTGGCCTCGTGGCTAGTGTGCCTGACCGTGAATCCGAGGGTGAGTGATTCGCGTTTCATTGCCGCAAATTCGCGCCCGCACTTTGGAACTATGCGTGCACTGTCTGAACAGTTTAATATAAATAAAATAAAAATATATTTCTGTCACAACCATGTCTTAACAATTAGTTCACAAACAAACCCCCTCCCCTCAGTGGGCTTACGATACTATAAATCGGGTTTCAATACCCGCGATGGGCAGAGCACAGCTAACCTATTGTGTAGTTTTCTGTTTTCGAACAAGCGAAGAAACACGTCAACAAAAATCTTTGTTATTATCTCGGAATTGTCTTAGCCATATAGTAAACGTTTAAATCCTAGATTTTCTGCTGTGTTATGCTTTAGTTTCCACCCAAACTACGTTAATAGTTAAGTTACGAACACTAGTATTTAGGGTAAATAACTAAGTAAAAAGCTAAAAAAAAAAAATCTTTGAGTCTTTAATTTATAACTGATAATTTATCATTTTGACTTACATAGCTTTATTTGAATAACATTCATAATTCTCAGTTAAATATTCACATATACTACGCCTTTAACTTATCGATGGGTCCGATGGGTCACCTACCCTCCTGAATTTTCTCCGTTAACAACTGTTAAGTAATGTCCAGTATAAACTACAACTAGTTGAGAGTGTCTTAGTTCGAGCCTTTTTTTTTGTGTTTTTACTTAAGGGAGTAAAAAGAAATATATTCTTTTCTAAAGGATTAATTAATTCCTTGAATACGTATATGTAGATCTGAAATAACGAGAACAGATTTTTCTCTTAGTCTGGTGGCTGATATTAATGTAATTAAAATTTTGCATTGGTGAATCTAATGTGTTTGTGAGCACGGATTTGGTTAGCGGGTCCAAGTTGTTAAGTGCCCTTGATATCTCTATGTCATTACTTCCCCACGTA